AGAAAAGAAATAAATGTGAAAATTAAACTCTGTTTATTTAGGAAAAGGAGCCGCATTTTAATAAAAAAAATCCTCGAAATTCTTTGAGGCCCTTCTTGACTTTACTTTTACATCATTAAAATTCATACATCAATATAATTTCACACATCTTATAAAGTTGTATGTATATGTATATTTATTTATATCTGTAGTTCTAAATTTTATTATCATTTTTAAATGTAAAATCATTATTATGTAAAAACCAAGTATACAAACATTTGTTGCAGTTAAACTGTTCTTACTCAACAGTATTTTTATTCAGAGCATCTGAAGTCAATAATCTATTAATTATTGGAAGTACAGTGAATAATCCTTTTATAGTATGTAATTTTTAAGTAAATATGTTGTTTTTTTAACACCTCAGTTTAATTTTGATGACACATTTTTGTGCATATATGGGATCCTGGGGAGTTAATTGAAAAAAAAAAATTGTAACAGCTAGGTGTTTAACTGCTGATACATGGGAACATTATGTAAACGAATCTCACAGTGCAAATCTGACAACAAGTTCAATTATCACTGCCTTAACCAGCCCAGAGATGACACATTCAAAGTGTCATCATTAGAAACCATAAGGTCACCTGATCAAATTCCCACATCTGCTGGAGATATGATGATTGTGACCGAATCTTTGGGCAATTGTTCACCGAGAAGTGTCTTTTACATTATGTGTAACTTATTGTCTCCTTGTTCCCCTAGATACTCCCTACAGATTGTCAACCATCAATCCAGGAGCATTTTGCTGATGATCCATAGAAACCAGACTGGGAAACAATGGATCATCTTCCCAAGAATTGTAAACTCTCTCTCTCAGTCAATTAGCATATAAGTACTTAGATAGTTGTCATCATTCAGATCTTAGATGTATTATCACAAAGACAAATATTGTAATTGTATACAGACTTAGGACTGTAGCTTCTATGTACTCCTTGCTTTAGCTTAAATTGTTGTATTTAGTTGAAGCACCTAAGTCTCGCCTTCTTCCAACCTTGGACATCCTATTGACTTACTCAGCATACCTCCCCACTCGAAGTTAGAAATGCCCTCTTACTAGATTCTAACCCTATAAAGCCATCCAGTGGCATTTGAGTGGCCTTCACAGACTGACGTCAGAAAAAGGGTTTAGAGCTTTACTCTCTAACCCCCAGCTTCTCACACATATTACTTTACCCACAACATATTACTCCTTCAAACAGTGGGATCATATGTCCATTTTAAATTGCAATTATGAAATGCTCACCTATGACACAGTAGCTGCATCATAGGCAAGAGATATATGGTGGTGGTTATTCAAATATTTCATTTTTATCTTAGCAATTTTCTGTAAGTTATATGTTCAAAAAAACAGTAATTAGTATGTCAACAGCATTTTTTTAAAATTTTGATTTAGTATTGAAAATGGCCAAAAATTGAGGTAAAAACATTCCATTTCATGTATTTATTGGTAACCTTAAAGATAGTAGTATTTTTCTTTCTTTGTTAAAAGACAGTACAAAGACTTTGTTAATTTTTCTAATATATATCATCATGAATATATCTTAATATTTATCATTAATGTTTATTATTTAAATGAAATTTTATAACTAGTTTGAAATTAAAATCAAGTTAAATGTATTAATTAATATGTACAACACAATTCTATATAAAATGTTTTCAATAAAAAAAATACAGAAATTCAATTTATCTATATGTTAAATCAATATTAAAACTTGGAGTTGAAAAATTTTATAGTCTAGTCATTATACCACTGTCTCTACTATTATATTAAAATGTTATGAAGCCTTTACTTATTATTTTATCTTATTTCTCTCTATCTGTCTATCTTCACCCATCTTTAAATATCTGTGATTTAGCTGCCTAAAAGTTAGCCTTCTATATCTTTTGTCTAAGACCCATTTCCATGAGCTAAACACATTCCAAATCTCTGTTCTTGATCATAAGCCTCTACACTTCTTTCATAAATCCATATGTTCTCTGTAAGCTCTCTCCCTCTAACTTCTAAGATCTTATCTTATACACCATTCTATCTCTGTTCCTCTTTTTAGTCTTCCCTATCTAAAAAGAATACTATTTGTTTTTCCTGTTCTAACATCCCTTATATGTTTATTCTAGTCTAACATTCAGTGTTCTTCTAGTGGCCCCTTTATCTCCTTCTCCTCTACTAAGTCTACTTCATATATTCTAGTCTTTTCATTTTTCATTAGATCAGAGTGCTATTTATTCTTATATCTCTGATTCATTCCAATTGTCTATAAGAGCATCATCTCCAATCTTTCTACATAATGTATTACTACTACTCTCACCATTTTCTTTCCTTCTCTTCCTATAATCAATTTTCAACACCATCTTATAAAATTTCATTTTATTTATCCCCTATATGGCTGCTATTTTTTTCAATATGTTGTAGTTCCGCATGCCAATTTACTCTCCTATCACTACATCAAATGTCCTCGCTATTAAAAATTTGAATACCTGTTTATATTCAATAGGATCATTAAATTCTCTTGGGCTATAAGTGTGAAGGTGTTCTTTCCCCATATACACCAGTTTCATATGTATCTTTTTTCTTTAAAATGTTCAAAAGCCTTTATTTCTTAATATAGTAATGTGTTCAATGAGATAATGACTAGATTCTGGATTAAAATAAAATAAATTATTAGTATTTTTAGTACAGTGTAATTTCTTATTACAATTGATATTCAAAGTTTTAAAAATTCTAATCACATTACTTGTTAGAAAAGAAATAAATATATTGTCTAATAATTTCAAATTAATATCATGAATACATTTTAAATGTAAAATAAATGAACATTTTTAAAATACTCACTAAAAGGAATAATAGAACTCATTTGAATAGGAAAAATATGAGGAAAATTTGATTCTGCTAATGCCGTCTGCCACAGTTTATCTGCCAAATTGATATCCTCTTCGGCAGTACTAGGAAACGACCTTGGGCATTTACCCTGAAATTTATTAAATAAAGACAATTTTTTAAAATATTATAAGAGAGAAACTTCATTAAATATCTTACTATTAAGAAGTTTCTTGTGCGTTACTTACCGATAAAATATTACTAATACTTGTCTGAATTATTGTTTTTCTTCTAAACTTGCTTGAATCCCTTTTAAATTTTTATTAAAGATTATAAAACTATTTTGAATATTTTTCAGTTTATATTTATACTGTCTTAGCTAATATTTTCAAACTTTAATCCTACAAAATTACTTTAAATTTTCCTTTGTCAAAAAAGCTTTTCTCCTTTAATATTCCATATTATTGTACATACACTCAATTAGACTCACAGGTTTTAAATTACCCCTTAGGCTTGAATAAACCCAAATATATTTAACCTATATTTTCATACTGAATGTGTATTTAATTGTTGAGAGACAAACAGTAACAAAAGTAATCTAATGTTGAAAATAGGAAAGAAACAGTAAATGCAAATAAAAAACTAACAAACGGTTGAAAAATACCCTACTCGCAGACCTGGTGGTGTTATTGTTTTTTGTTGTAAACTTCTTCATTCTACAGGCTAAAGAAATTACTGCAAGACAGAGTAACACTAGGAACTAAGTGACTTCTATATTCAACATTAATGATAAAAATATTTGTCTATCTAAAATATCTATTTTTATCTAAATTTTATGATTTTATCAAAAAACTTTGTGTTGTAATTTTCATGTGCTATTGAAAATTCTTCACAGACTAATACTGATCTACAGAGAAATGATCTACATGGTCAAACAAAATTCTTATAAAGTAGTATGTGAGTTTAATCAATCTAAAGCTTCATAAAATTTTTTAGTTATAAAAAATTAAAATTATATGCATTTGGAAGACAAACTTAAGCTTCCTTACATTTTTAATGAATAAGATATTATCATATCATTTCTTAAAAGCCTAAGAAAGATTAAGTTGTTTCAAGAAAAATGTTTGTTAGTTAATATATTTATTTGTTACATCAGCAAAAAATGTTACTTTTCTTTAAAGTAAATGAGAGAATCTTTTGACCTTAATTAAAATTAAATTTTAAATACTATTTACATGGTTCCTTCATTAACATTTTGTGGACTTATTTTTTCAATTTATGTAAATCAGATTATGTACAGTACATAGTATTTCAAATTAAAGTCTATTTAAATTATTTGTTTTTGCATGCATTAAAACCAGTCAATTTCAAAATTAAATAAACTTGCTATGAATGAATCTGAATAATAATTATTATTATAAATAAATTCTATACGACAATGAAGAAAATATGTCCAAAATATTTTTCTACTTATTATATACAATGTTAAAAATTAAATAAATACAGATTGACAAAAAATAAAATTTACAAGTATTTTTCTATGGTTTTATTTCTTTCGTGTAACTCAGAAAAAAATTTTTTCATCGCACTTCAAAAGGATACAATTCCCCGTAAATTCTAAGCCAAGAGTCACGTATTCTTCTAAATCACCAGTCAGATAAGCACAATGGAGAGCCATGTTCAATATACTAGAGACTAACGTTCTCCATTTCTCTGCTCTATAATCCCATAAAACATGTCGGAAAAGGCTACAATCAAATAAATATCATAAATATTCTGAAAATGTCATCATATTTTAAAATAATACATTATTCACTTAAAACAGTAATACAAATATTATTATTATATACAATCCTATTCTACATATTTCACTATAATGCTATTTCAAAGATAAAAAATAAGCATTATATTAAAACTACAATGCACTTGCACTATAATTCAACCACAGTAAGTGCAGTCAGTGTTAGAAGTATTTAGTCCTTTGAGCTGCAGAATCTCAAGCAACATAAAAAGTATTTTGTTCTCTTATAAATTCTGATTTATGATAATTTCTAAAAAAAAAAGGTTTTTCATGAATTGTCACAAAATATATAAAATAAAATAAATATCTGTAATAAGAATGAATAAGAATAAAAACAACAGCAATAATAAACACTTTTTGTAGATTTTCGTGTGATGGTGATAATTATAATTAATTATTTGAAGACATAGTCCTTCCCAAAAAAGGAGTCACCATTTACTAGCTCTGTTCCAGACAATATATTCTTGAGCGACTGACCTTTCCTTTTGGCTACTGACTTCCAAAAAGGACTATTGGGAAGGACATAAATTTTTCAAAGTATCATCCCCAGAGGACAGCTTTTCTAATCTACATTTTACCAGTGCTTATTTAGTTGTAGATAAAAGCCGAAACAAGAAGGTATGATGAAGAATAGAAGATGTCCGTAGTCACCAGTTCCTTTTTAAAAATGTTTGTATTTTTTAATTGGATGTATTCTTGTGCTTTTAAAGGACGTTTTGGCGGTCAGTAGCTTAAAAAGAAAGGTCAGTCGCCAAGAATGTATTGTCTGGAACAAAGAGCTAGTAAATGATGACTCCTTTTTTGGGAAGGACTATGTCTTCAAATAATAATAATATTATTATTATTGTTATTATTATTAAACAGGTCATATTGTTAGGAAATTCCTGAATACAGACGCACACACCGACATGCTTATTTAATTTTTGTCTTGTTTTGGTTACCATGCCTTGACTCTGGTCCCACAGTACACAGCCACTAGTGTTAATCGACTATAACTCATTAAATCCAATATAGTAAACAAAATTGTTGAACCTTATTATTATTAGGTATTATTTAAGTGCGATATTTTGTACTTAAACAAGTACAAAATATCGCATTTGCTTTGGTACCAAGATAATAAAAAATAAACAAATAGTATTATTGAATTGATGTCGCAAGCCGCAACTAATTGTTTCGTGGGCCAGTCATAGCCCGCGGGCTGTATCTTTGACATGCCTGCCCTGATATAGACCATACGAGCGCTCTCAAAGATCGACCATCTTACAGTTTAAGTAAAACGCCGAAAAGTCAAAATGCATTAAGTTGTGTTCCTTATTCGTTATTAAACGAAGCACGACTATATGTATTACACGTGTGTATATCTTTAAAAATAAATCAATTTAGATAGGGGAAGGGAGGGCAGGATGGAAGGTTTAACTTTATGATGTAAAAAATATATAAAACAACATAATATAAACTTTTATTTTAATCAGTCTCGACAGAGATCTTAGATGGTTAAAAAACTGTGTAATTAAAAATAATTAATATTAAGCATAAAACCTATTAGGAATCATGAAGTAAAAACGTAAAAAATTCCATCTTGCCCTCACGCTGAAGGCAAGATGGAATACCTAGGATATCCCTACATTTTACAATTGACACACGAAAAACATCCATCTTTTGTGTCTGTGCATAGTTTATGTGCCCAACCACAACACACTGGACACTGTACCCAGTCATCTGTGGGCGGTTCCAAATTTGGTTCTCCACATAATACACAAAACCTTCATCCACCGCCATCTGCAGTTTCTTCAGTCCAAGAACTTTTTTATATACTTGTTCACCATCTAGAAACAACTATATCCTCAATTAGTTAGATAAATTGATAACAGAAATCAAAATAATTGCGCTTGCTACATGGAAACTATTCCATCTTGCCCTAAAATGCAATTTTCCATCTTGCCCAAATTCCCATTGCCAATAATAATATCAACTCTTTAAAAATCCTTGAATTTTTTCCCTATTTAAATATCAATTCATGCAATCTATCCCTAGTAGATACTTTGTATAAAAACAAAATAGTAATACTTTACCTTGTAGGTATAAATAATAAAACTGCAAAAGTCCAATGATTGCATAATAATCTGCTGCGAAATAAGAAATACTTGCACACGTCACTTCGTGGCACCAACCGATCTGAGTCGCCGTTCATAAAAACAAGATATCCGGGTGTCTCTGTGTGCATGGAGATTTGGGTGCTTCGTCGCGCGGTTCGGGGTGGGTAAGTAGTTTCCATCTTGCCCTCCCTTCCCCTACCTGTTATGTAGATACACTATAATTTCTTTTTTATGTTTATAACAATGTATTATATTCGCATTCAAGAAATGTTCAATTGTATTAGATAAGTGGTCAATAAAATTTCATTTTTTTAATCAATAACAACTTTTTCTCAAAAATTACCATAGACAATGTTTGTTGAATACAAAAGCATCTTTGTAAAATCAACCATAGGCAATTTGATAAAATACTCTCATTAAATTTAATTAAGGGGTCTAAAATTCAAATTCATGAAAACCCAACTTATTTTTATTATTCGAATTTTGTAATATTGCAATTTGATATATTATTATAGCTGACTAGAAATCATAATGGACATACTTAAGTAGCTCAGTTGGTAGAGTTATACAATTAAAAGGTTTTGGCTTCGATTCCTATCGCTGCCTTTTTTATTGAGAATGCAGTTCTTAAATTTGAACTGGTGAGATTTCGAGTAGCCATAGAGATTGTGATGACCCACGAAAGTTGACAAATGACGGGGCAACTGTGTGATGCCAAATATTCTCAAAACATTTCTTGATTTTCAAAATTATTCAAAATAGCTGAAAATATTAGTTCATTTTATTAAAACTTGCTAGAAAAAGTGATAAAAATGTTTTATTATTATTATTATTATCTAGAAGTTCTAGCTTATAGCATGCAGTATTTAATGTATCTTCTTAATTATATATAGTTACTTGAAATTCTCTCATAATAAATTAAGTTCCCAGTAAATTTACATTCATACAAATGTTAATTCATTAAATGAGCCAAGTCCATTTTATGTTATTGCTAGATATTTAATGGTTTGCATTTGAATGAGTTAAAAAATATTCGTAAACAGTAATAGACTTATATTTTTTTGGTTTTATTTCGTGTAAATTTAATATGCAATAATGGTTATCCATGTTAGGTGAAAAAATCATGTTTTCGTATGCCCTCAATTTCAAAAAACAATGATTTGTTGAGAACGTTGCTTTTCTTTGAATGGAATATAGTTATAATAACAAAATATTGAAGATTTTATTTATTTACTTATTTATTCTATTAGTAATAAGTTGCATGCATATTAGTTGGTGCAGATTTTTAAAGTATTCATGATACATAGGGTAATAAATTCATCATATCTTCATATTTCTCTTTAGAGTGGACTTGCCTCACTTTCAAAATCAACTCACTGTAAATATCATTAAGGATATAAATTACTAGTAACAAATTTATACAGATATTAAAAGATGTTTGTGAATTGATTAAAAACATGAATTTTATGTATAAGAATTAGCTTTAACTATTTTTTTCGCAAAATGGACTTGCCCCACTTTCAAAATCAATGGCTCAAATATCAATGTGAAATTGTTATTATAATCAATAACTAATGATGATAATGAATTGTTCTGTAGAAATACTCCAGACATTTTTCAATAGACTCATTAACTTAAAAATTAGGAGTTCAATTTAAATAGTACAAGAGTTATTTCAGATATCATTTTTGTAGGAAATGTATTTGATTTTATATTAAATTATACTATTGTATATTTGAATCTCTCACATCCTACAGATTTCTAGATTATATTCTGAATTCCATAGATTTTTTTATACAATTTGAGGTTGACTATTAAGTTATTNTTTTATATTAAATTATACTGTTGTATATTTAAATCTCTTACATCCTGCAGATTTCTAGATTACATTCTGAATATTAAGTTATTTCCAAGCTACAATTTCATGTTACTGAATTTGCTTTTAAATTAACTTACGTTTATTATAAACCAGAAATTTCATAATTGTATATGGTAATCCATCTGTTATTTATTTTATTACATTTTATAAATGAAAATTTCTATAAATTTATATGTACCAAATTTAAAAATGAAGATTTAACCATGAGTATATTGAAAATGTTTGAATTAACTACTAATGATTAATTCTTTTTTAAATATCAATCAATCATTCATAAACATTTTCACACAATAAAATAGATTTCAAGCTTTCTGTTTACTTTTATTTATTATTTATAATCATGATATTTTCATATTTATTAAAGTGTGAAAAAATGAAAGTGTCATATGATTCATTTCATTATATTACAACATAATTTAAAAAAAATAATTAAAACAATAGAAATTACAGTATATGTAATGTAATGAAAATAAATTGTGAATAGAACTTTCAATAACTAGAAATAAATTTATATGGTTCAAAACTATTCTCAAAGTTATTCTTAAATGGAATTTATAAGAAATAAATTTAATTATGATTTAATTTGGAGTTAATACAGTTTTGACAGTTAAATATTTAAGAATGAAAAATTTATACTAGAAATTGCACATTTGGACTTCATTTTTTACTATTTTACAGTTTTTAGTATAAAATGAAAATGTATTTGCTATTATCCTTGGGTTTTCATTTTTTACAAGTCATATTTTTCAATTACATGCAAATATAACATTTTCATTTAAATCTGAGACTAATAGCAGACTAAAGTCATCCTATCACAAATATATTAAATATGTGAATATAAAATACTTTTTACATTATATTATTTGCTTCCTATACAAATCAAAAACATCTGTTTAAATAATAAAATGCCATTTGTATATTGGAATAATAATTTTTCTTTTTTACTCCTCTCTCTATGTATATGG